TGTGTGTGTGTGTGTATATAAATGTATGTCAGGGCTGGATGAATCCCAGGAGCCAGGTAACCAATGCTCCTTGAAAATTACAGCTGACGCTTAACTTCTTAGGTTTACTCTAGTTGTTTATGAACTTTGCTCCTGCTGGCTCCTGTATTGGACAAGCTGCCTTGTGGATTCCATATTGATTTGTCTACCATGTTTATCAGTGCATAGAAGGTTTAAGCTGTAAAGCGTGTTTCTAGGTTGCCAGAAGCACAAGGTACTGCATGCAAATATTTTCCAGTGCCGATTTATTTTTACTTTGGCGAAAACTAACTTTCACAACGGTGAGTGCAGAGTGTGGGTCATGATGCCATGTGCAGTACATCCATTACTCTTAGATCTATGCATCTGTGAGCACCCTTGGACAACTACTAGATGTGCTTTCTGCTAGCAATTGATAAATGCAAGGCACTGTCACGACTTTTCTTTCCTGAATGAATCGGCGCTTGCACAAAAGACTGAATCGGTCCTATGGATTAGGAGAATGGGGACCCATCTCCAATGCCTTGAGAATGGGGATTCTCTTGTGCATTGGAGATCTAACAGCTCAAATCTGCATCACCTCCAGATTATCTTTCTCTGCCTCTATAGGAGAAGCCGCTCTACTCCATATTTCAAACTAGAAGCCAGAGTCTGATTTGTTGGATTGGCTGCACCTTGTCCTTTTAGTCTAGTGACCTTTGTGACTTTGCAACATGTTCAACTGATAAGCCCCTTCCTCACTATAAAAGGATATGATAAAAAAACAGCATTCATTTTTCTTCTTGGTATAATGGCATTCCCACAGTCTCCTTATTATACACTTTCTTTGCAATTTGTGTTCGCCTCCTAACCTACTTTCCTCCCCCCCCCCGTAATATGAGAAAATCTGACGTTCCAGGTAACTGACTTGAGAGCTAGGGCAGAGGTCGTGCGTCTGCTGCTGCGGAGAGGAGCTGTGTCGGTGGCAGTGGTGCTTGGAGCTCCAGCGCCTGTTGAAAGCGGAAACCTCATTATTGGCTTCGGTATGTGTTGTGCTTAGGGGAACCAGATCTAAGGTGGCTTTGCCGTGCATACAAACTGAATTACTCTTGGGTGCTGTTCCGTTAAGGCTAGCCTGCAGGTGACACTCACACCTTGGGTAATAGAATGCAAGCGAATACGACAAGCTTTTTATGGTAGATTTTACAGTACAAACCCTTATTTAGTGAACATAGCCGTGTTATTACTCAATTACTTCTAAAATAGTTTAATTCTGGTGTGTGGGTGTTTCTGTTTTTGCTATGTGTATGTTTTCTTCTCCCTGTTTTGGATGCAACTACTTGCATGCTGAGCGTTTTAGGTTTCAGCGTCAACACATTTGCATGTCTATGGAATGCTTCTGTGGGTAAAACACATTGTTTTTTTAATTTCTGAAACTGGCAAGAAACATGAGAAGCCAGTCAGCTAAACTGGACGGTTTCGGTCAGACCTGACGAGTCTCATTTCGGTGGTGGTTGCACCTCAGTTCCGCCACTCTGGACCGGGTTGGAACAAGGTATTGGGCAGGTTTGGAAGCCTGATATGGATATGTCCATCTTTTGTAGTATAGATATGCACGCTAGGTGATCCTTTAACCTCTATCCACGCTAGTGTAGCGTATGAAGGTGCGCAAAATACCACTTTCATTTTGTGGGTTAAGTGTAGGTAGCTGAAGTCAATGTAGGTACTTTTTCATAGTGTCAGGTGTACTTAACATTTTAATGATTTTACCAAGGCTTAGGGTAAGGGCCCGTTTACACCAGACACAGTGCTGGCCGGAACGCACTGGATCGCATTGTGGCCGGCTCACTTTGTTGTGGGGCCGGAGGGTGCAATGCGATCGGCCGGACTGGAACGCGCGGCACATGAATGCTTGTGTTCCGGTCCGATCAGAAAAAATAGTGCTTGCAGCATTGTTTCTGACCAGACCGTAGGCATTGATGGCTCGGTGAAGGACCTACAAAGGACTTTTTGGATAGTGGGGCGGTTTCCCACTTTGAAATGCTCATCTTTCTAAATCCAAGATTATGAAAATGTTTTATTTATAAAGTGACAGCATACTCATTGTGAATATTCAAATAGGGTATAGTAATACTATATGTGGATATTTAAATATTGACATTTGAGTCACTATCGCCCTTTCTGGATTCTTCTTGGATTAGTAGCTATTTCACTGTTGACTAGACAGTTTCAGTTTGGAAAGAATTTTAATGGAAGAGTTATCCAATAAGGGCTGAGCCTTTCTTTTTAATTGAAGCCTTTGTGCTGATTTGAAGCAACTAGTCACACCGGTTCTGAAAGTTTTCAGAGTAGCTGAAGGATGATGGATGAGTGAGTTTATCTAGCGATCATTCTGAACATGAAGGATTCTCAATGACCAGCTTCCTCCATTGTAGGTTGCTAATGTAAATGTTTTTTCTATTTGCTTTAACCAATTTTTTTTTTTTTTTTTTACGGTGCTTAGGTTTTGTTTCATTGTTTCAGTGGCTGTTGTTTTTTCAGCACCTTGTACATATCAGGCTAGGTTCACACCTAGACGATCCGTGACCGCGCAGCAATCGTACACAAAACCACACTGATGGTCGCGCGATTACGGAATCGCCCACCACTGCCTGCACAGTTTTCCGCCGCGATACTGCCCTGTGGAATTGAACACGAGGGCTAAAAAAAAAAGCTGTCGCAAAAAAAAGGTACTTGTACCTTTTTTTTTTTTATAGCGATTGCCGCGCAGATGTAACCCCATTTGAAATCAATGTGCCTGCGCGGCAATCGCTGTGTGAATCCCGGGAACGCTCAGATCTGAACCTAGCCTAAAAGCTATTTCTAATGGACTGGTGGTGTTAACAATCCGATGTCGGGATTCCTTTTTTTTTTCCCCCCCAGTAAGAAAAAGACCGCCGACCCTGTAGATTGTACTAGGAAAGGTGTGCGGCAAACAGTTAATAGAATTGTGTTGTTTTTTTTGTTTGTTTTCTTTTGTTTCTTTTTTTATGATTTGTGGATTTGTATTAAGTTGTAAATGCTTCAGTTTGAATGAGAAGAAAAAAAAAGCAGAATGGTGAACACAAATCGAGATAGAGATCCGTCTTAAAGGAGAACTATGGGGTCAGGGCTTTTCCCCATAGTTCTCCTTAGGGTAACGGGAGGACACAAACTAGCGTCTTCCCGTTACCCTAAGCTCAGTATACCGCGAGCTACAGCTCGCGGTATACTGAGACGCC